CTAAAAGAAAATAAAAATATGAAAGTTTAAGAAAGAAGGAAAGCATTAAAAAGTGGCAGAATTGATTGATGTTTTTTACGGTTTATCAACTCTTTGCGGATTATTTAAATCCGAAACATCTTAGATTGTTAGAATAATTCTTTTTTTCTTTTTTTTTTTTTTTTTTAAGCAAATACTGAATTAATATTTTTAAAAAAATAACAACGATATTTTTTTCAGATACAGGTTGTACTATTTAATCCATAACTGAGAGGTGGAGATGGATTCATACCTTAATCAAGGGTATTTGCGCGTAAGTGAATGTCTGAAATTCAAACTCGCCACTACAAATTTCTCATTCCGAGGATGTTATCCATTACCCCATCCAAAACTCGTGCATCCAAAACCCAAAACTGTAAACATTTTGATTTTAAAAGCTAGTAGAATGAGTGAGTGATTCTGTTTGTGTCTCTCTTTCTTTCACGCCTGAAGATTAATATAATTTAGTCGTTCTAATTCCCATTCATCACCATCTGACATTAGATTCAGTTAAATATTCATAAAATCATATATGTAAACACGGTCGTTGTTATTATGTCAGAAAGAAATTTTACATATTAACCGTAATGGCAATGGTAACTGTTATATTAGCCGTTTCCTTATAAGGAAACATTCGGCATTCATTGACCGAGCATCCGGTTGAAATTTATAAAATCTTTCTCTAAAATCAATGTTTCAGTAAAATAAGTTTACCAACTCCAGTAACTGTTATTGCTCTTTCCAGTACTGATGGGGGAGGGGGGAGGCTTTCTTTCCTAACCTTTTGTTTGAAGTCGCGTGGAGCGTCAACGTCGTTATTTTCTCTTCGAGTTACACGTGTTATCTATTTTAATTGTGGTTATCATTGAAAGTTTTCAAGTGATGTTGCTTCTATCATCTATTACAGTTCTTTGTTTGAGATTCTGTAGCGTCAGTTCATGAGGTTCGAAGAAGAATGGTCCTCGCTAAAATCTGCAGGCTTCGTTTGCTCGAAGCCATTTTTAATCATTGATCTGAGAAAGCGGTTTTATGCAGTTGACAGTTTAGATATTTCCGAACGAGTTTGACGTCATCTAGGACATCCATATGAAAGTCTCGATCGGACGAGGCTATTTAAAAATATGACTCTAGTTTTTAGGCCATTTTCCCCTTTTTTATAGCATCTGGCAGTGTATGACCAAACTACCCCCATGCATAGCCTATTCTATGTTCATTTTTTTTTGTATTTCCTCTGCTAAATTTATTATAATTGATCCATACACCGAGGTATTTGGAGTATTTAGCATTTACTAATTCCACATCTTAAACGTGATGGATTCAGAGTAAGGATCATCACTGATTTCATTCCAATTCCAGATCATAGTTTCTGTTTTAGAAAGGTTTATCTTGTGTCCTATTTCTTGGAACACTTGATAGATGATGTTGATTTTTTGTTCAGGATCATTCTTAATCCGACTATGAATACCTATGACATCAGCAGCACCACTCCTCATCATCAGTACATGATTGTCGGGAGGGAGAGCAGTAACACTGTTCTCTATGAGTAGATTCGTTTGGGACGTTTCATAGAATTCTTAACTGACCAGTGCTCATCTTGTCATATTTTGTATAGGTGCAGAGTTTAGGAAGAGATCAAATAAACTGGGGTCTCTCATTTCCTATGTATAAGTAACTTAGAACAATATTTTATTAATCTTAACAATGTTTGTTTTTAATTTTTATAAGGATTTTGGTTGCCTGGTTAAATTTTTGTGTCTCTTTATTGATCTTGTGTTCTTCAATTATTTTCATAAACACTACATTTCCTCAGAAACAGAGAAAAGAGTACCTAACTGTTACGTAATATCAGTCCACCTATATGGCAGTGAATGCTGAACAATGTCCTCAAAGATGAAGAAGAGATTTAAAGCAACAGAAATGTCGTTCTACAGAAGGATGCTGAGGATACCATGGACCGGATAGGTGACGAAGTTTTAGAGAAAATGAAAAAAAAAGACACTTATACTCAACACCAGGAAGAGACAGCTGAAATTTCTAAGGAAATTTCTGAAGAAAGAGGGCACAGAAAATTTGTTACTCACGGGACAGATTGAAGGCAAGTGAGCAAGATTTTGAAAACAACGCATTACCGGCCTAGCGAGCATGAGTAAATGGATGTCGGAACAAGGTTTAGGAAAAATAACAAAACGACAAAATTTATTACGAGCAACAAAAACAGGAAATTGTAGAGGGCCATGATCACCGACGTCCTTAAGGGACGCGTCACATAAAAGCAATATCGTTCAACAGAGATTTTTTTCTTTGTAAACACTAGCATTTCATCATCTCGAAACCGTAACTGCTTTCGGAAGAGGTAATGCCCAAATCCATGTTTAACTATAGTATTTTCACTTATAGACGAAACACACGGACGAAACAACAATGATAGTCCGCTATAATGTGAGTAAGCTTATCAGAAAATATGAAAAGAACTTACTTAAAATAGACAAAACTTGTCTATATTATTTAATAAAATATGCATTAATGAAAAATTGCAGCCTAAATATACACAATATATATATATATATATATATATATATATATATATATATATATATATACATATATATATATATATATAAATACATACATATACATACATATATATATATATATATATATATATATATATTTAAAAGAATCCTTACCAAAAACCTTTATTTTTTAACGAAAATTGTGAAAGCATGAAAAATTGCTACCCAGATACACTCAACACACACACACAAATGCACGCACACACACATATGCACACACACGCGCGCACACACACACACACGCACACAGACACGAACATAAATATATTGAAAGCGCTTGGCCGTAACAAACATCATTTGCAAGTAACGAAATTCGGCAACCATTACTGGAGGATATCGAATTCAAGGTGAGCAGATTTTTCCAAATAAAGTTCTCTATATTTAAAAAATACTAATTTAACTATTTAATATTAAAGATTTTTATTCTTCTATAAAAAGAAATATATTGAATGAGGCAATAAATGTGGCTACTCAGTATGTAAATATTTCTAATTATGACAAAAATAAAACATGCATAACATTTGTATTTAATTATCATAAATCATTAATAGGAATAATGTTAAATTAACTTAATGTTGCCTGGGAATTATGAATAATGATAATAATAATAATAATAATAATAGTAACTATGAGTATAATATAACCAATTCATGTAATTGTAGAAATAAAACATACCCTCTGGAAAATTACTGTCTAATCAATAATATGATATATAAAGCTAGGGTAACAAACAAACTGATGAAAATATTATAAAGGAACAAAAATATTCTAAAACAGAATTATTACAATCATAAAATATCTTTCGTGAGAAAAAATATGTTAATAATAGGACTCTTTTTCAATATTCATTACTACAAAAAGAAAAAGAATATCTACCGACATGAAATGGGAAATGATAAAAAAGATAACTCCTTGCAATATCAATAGAAGCAATAGTAAACAATGCGTAGTAGAAAATTTTGCAAAAAATCAGATTAAAAATCAATAATAAATTGCTAACTAAAAAATTAATTTCGGGAAAACTGCAAACATATTAATAAATATCTGGTTCAGTAAGACCCCCACCCCATAGAGGAGAACATGACTAAAGACTGTGTGTACGCCATCCCGTGCAGATGCGGAAAGAAATATAAAGGGGAAACACGTGGAAAAATCAGGCATGGCTGACCACATATGGAGAGAAAAGGGAGATCATCACTCTTTGTAGGATCAGATTGAAATCGTAACCAACGAACATCATTGGAAAATTCGTAAACTTAAGGAATCAGCACATATGCTAGGCCCAAAAATCTCCTGAGCCGACCAAGCATAGAAATGAATACAATATGGGAACTAGTAATAAGGAGTGCCAGAGAAAAGCGATAATAACAACGAAAATTTCAATATGAGCTCTGGTAAAAAAAAAAATGAAATAATAACAGCAAAAATTGCAATATGAGCACTGGTAGAAATGGTTGCTGAAGTCATTAGGTTTATAATACCCAGAAATCCTCAAGGACACATGGCACAGTTGATAAAGGCGTTAGTTAGGACCCAAAGAGTGTGAGTTCAATATCTGGTTAAGGCAGTAGAGAACTTGGAAAGGGGATTTAACTGATAATTAGACATTGTAGAAAAATCAGGCGTGGCTGACCACATATTACCCCAGCGAGAACCAGTCTACACCAGCGAGTGAAATAAAGGGTTCAATTCTGAAGAAGGCGTACAACGGCCGAAACGTTGTGATAAATATGGCAACAAAGATGAGGACAGTAGTCCGAATAATGTAAATAGTGAAAAACCAGAGGTAAAAAATAAGAGAATATTCTCATGAATTAATTTCAATAATTTTATAAATTTCAGGAGGTCTAATAAATTTCAAATAAATAATACCTTTTAAAATTTATTTAAAATGTTCTCATGCAAAATATTAAATAATAATAATAATAATGAGGACATCAACAATTCAATTTGTAGTTGGAGCCTCTGGATTGATATTCCGATAGACTAATTGAATGGATTCCTTTAAGAAATACACAAATTATACTCACATGTACAGCTCGCATATTACGAAGAGTTTTATCTATGTAAAATGTGTGCGAGCTGACCTTAGCCATTTCTGACCTTAGGTCTCTCCTTGAGAGCCAGAAGGAAATTTGTATACAACAGAAATCCAACGAATCAATAATAATAATAATAATAATAATAACATATTAAACATTATTAAACAAATTAAATATATGAAAAAATAATTAAAAATTAATTAATTTTTTTTCTTTTCCTCTATTCACAGACGGTTGCATGAGGAATCTTAGTGTGCTAATCCGGTCATATTCTTTTATTAATCTATCAGGAAATAAAACTGTAGAGTCTACCTGCGACATAAAGAACTGCAGTTATTCAGATGATGTCACTGAAGATGCGTGAAAC